GTATTAATGTAGATAGAATAGAAATAATTCATTTTCACACACTTTTGTTAACCGCAGCTTGTTCTTTTATTCACTTTCTAAAAAAAGTACTTTTCTTTCTTAATATTACCAAGGATACATTTTTACATGTACAATGTACAATACCTTTTTTATATTCTATTTTTTGTGTCTGTTATTTTATCCGAACGAAGCGGAGGGTGAAAGCTAGTAGTACACGTAAAGGAAACGTGCTTTTTCGTAATAATTCAAAATCCAGGTAACTGTATGTGAATGGAAAACGTTCAGTGACAGCGTAGTTGCCAAGTTTTCCGGGAAATTCCGGCGAACTGCCGTCACTGCATATGAAAGGGTGACGGGCTCTCGACGAAATTGAAGCCTGCACTAATTTTATGTGACGTCACTCGCACTCGCCGAATACGGCGTGACGTTTGATCTGTGTCAAGTCAAACGGACAAACTCGTCATTTGATGTCCGATACATTGAACTAGTGAATTCTGCAGCTTGTGCGACAAGGGAAGGGCTCGTAGCGACATCCACTGCACATGGGAACTAAATACGCTAGTGTTAAAGTTGTATGCGCAACAGTAGCAAGTCAATAAGTTGAAAAAATTTGACGATGACGTGTAAGACTAGTCGGAGGTACTTCAATTGGTTAGAGCAACGGCACGGAACGCAGTGGATGGCGGATAGAGTCCTGCCCCTCTCGTAATTTTTTAATCCAAAATCGATTTAGAATTTTCATAGTGTGATCATGTGAAATGTCGTGTGAGTGTACAAAAGTTTTCATAATATAATACATCAGACATGAAATTGAAATATTGGTTTTTGAAAACATTTCAATAACCGCCGTTTTTTTTACCTTTTTTTTTTCAATACGTACAAACAGAGAACTGCCCGGGATACTGTAAGGATTTCCCTCTACATCAAGGGGCAAAGGAAAGGAGGTACGATTGTAGGTTAGCTATTTATTATCGATTAAATAGGATCAAACCAATCTTCTACGAATGTTTACGTCTCAGCATGTTTGGACATAGAATGGAATTACAAAATATATTTGCAATGAGGTGCTACTGTAAGCGACAAACTGAAGAAAATAGGGGAGGACGACTAAGCACGAAGTTCACTTGACGGAACACTCCGGCCTTTTCTTTTATTATTATTAGATGTCCTATACTAGTTGCGCTGTCGACCTATTGGCTTTAAATCAGCGCTTGGCAAGCGGAGTCAGATGCCATTTAGCACAAAGTTAAAATTGTGCTTTTTTTTCATTCTCTTAAGTGTATTTTTTTTTATTACTACTTTTAGGTGTATATTTTGTACTCGGTAATAAACGGATTATATATGTATTTTTATATGTCTTGCGATGCCGACATGGGTCTTGGCAAATAAAAGTGGTTAACGATACTCCGCGACGTTATTGATTCCCGCGGTTCATGCGACGCACTTAGGGCGGTTGTTTTGCGTTCTTTAATATCATTAGGAGACTTCAAAGAGCCATCGAAAGACCACCATTATTTACGGGATCGGATATTGAATCTGCGTCCTTGTGAAATGGAAATTGTGTTATAAATTACTTCCCTGTCTGAGAGAACGATCCTTTGAGTACGCGTAAGTTTTCATCTAACGAAATATACGTCAATTTCCGTTTTATAGAAAGTTACGTGTCTGCTCGTGATATAAAATTGCAATATTTATGATTTGTTTGCTGTGTCAAAGTGCAAGCAATTGTCAGGGGTCTCAGCATTTCTATAACAAAGTTTGAAAGAAATAATTTTGATGCCCAAAAACAACTATTCTACGCGGAAGAAGTCGCTCACACGGCTAGTTGCAAATAAATTTCGAACCAATGATCCAAACAAGCTCTTTGTCACATCACACATCACGCATTCTTGGAGCTCTTTGCCTCTACGTTTTACACATAACAATCTGGTAACAATGAAAGCACAAAGATACAGTGACGCATAACTAATAAAGTGCCCGCGGGCTCGCGCAATTAACTATGAATTAATCTCCTGGGAAAAGTATAAGGAACGAGGAAATGTTGGAGCGGCTATAACCATTGTTCAGTATATCTTAAAGGACGAAGCAGACGAGTTTTAGAAGGATAAAGAAATAGACTAAGTCTCTCCTAACTAACACGCTATTTTTATTCACTTATTATTTAGTATTCACAATTTTTGCTAAGTGATACAAATTAAAGTACTAAGTAGTATCTTTATATCGAGAATTTGCACAGATTTTATTATTGGATAGAATTTAGGTACTGATCAACGAGCGTAAATAGCTGAATCGTAAACATTAATATTACAATTATAATACAAAATCAAACTAAACTTAATCCATACAATTGTCTATGGCAAAGTATATAAATTAATTTGATTTAAAAGTCTCGTTACTAAGTCAGTGAAAATAAAAAAATAATTTGGTTTGAATGTCTCGTTACCAGGCCATAAAATGTTATTAAAAAAAAATAACGATGTACAACTTAATCTTATTCCACCAACCCTACAAATCATATGTCAAAATGACAGTGACCATTAATGTCAAACTTCATACAAGCTTACATAGATAATAAAAAACGTATTATTGCCTGTGTTAATTAAATTTAACTGATATATTAGATAATATCGTTAAAATATAACTAAATATACTTTGCAGCATAAAAATAAACTTCAAAACCAGAATCCGACTCGACATGTAAACCTTATAGGGTTTTCCATTTGCGACAACGAGAACTCTCCATTATACAATAACCTAGATTCGTCTCGCAGCTCTTGGCGCGTTAACATCTGTACAGTGTGCACACTTGGAAACGTTTACGGAACATTTGAGTTTTACGAACGATCTATCCTTCTAAGCTTTAGACCAGGACATTCCTGTACACGTTATTTAAAAGCGTACTTTACGGACGTTAAAATAACGTTAATTGTATATAATCTTTAATGTTTTTTATGCTTCAACAATTAAACAACTCACTATGTGTTCTTTAAATAATAAAACCTTTATATCGAGTTAACTTTTTTAATGATAGAAGTAGGACAGACAAGAAGTTTGAGAGGGGTTCGATTAAAGGAAGGTATTTCAAACCCAAATCATTAGACATCAATACAAGATGCGCTGTTGATCTATTTTGGCTTTAAATATTCGGAAAGCCACAAACTTCCCAGCCTTTGCATCCGTGGCGGGTGCTTCGTGACCTGGACGGAATTTCAATATTCAACCATTTAATATCTAGATTTTCAGACGAAGCCCAAAAATTGTGTGATAAATACATTGATTAGAGACGTATGGGACCCGGCGGGGATCGAACCCGCGACCGGTTACTAGCCGTATATTGCAATCACAGTAAATACTATTTTACAATTGACATAATTCAAAGGCTCCGGCAAAATCGATCGTATATTTGGGCTAATACGATCTATATTAGCGGAGCTCCGATCCTCCCGTTTCTATCGATCCCGGAACGTACGTTTTCCTAAACCGAGAGGGGTTGCGAAAAGAGGTCAAGAATCGATTTTCTGGAATCCACCGGACTTATTTATTGCTCTGTCGTTTGCACTACTCCGAGAAAGTTTTAATAAAACATGAGACATAGGACATAGTCGACAGACGATTCAAAGGAACAGTAACCCAGCTTCGTTTGGTTTATTATCAATATGCGATAGGAATGTCTAAATTCCTTCCGTGTCAACCTACCGTCCACAGATGAAATAGCTGCTTACTTTAATCGCGTTTCGGTGTCACTCGATGGATTACCGAATACCCAAAGCCAAAGTAGGTCAGCGCATCTCGTTCGGATATGTGGCTGGGGTATTGGCTTTGAGGGCTTGACGAGGAACGGTTTTCAAGGGAGTCTAAATATTTCCGTTTCGTAATTCATAAAATACTGCGCTAACTCCGTGGTCTCTCGCATAGATGTAACAGCGCGTGACATGCGCTGATATTTTATCGCGCAAAATGTATTGGTTTTTCACTTCGCAGCCGTTTGGAAATTCTACAGGACTTGGGAAGTACGCTTGTTTATAGTACTATGATTTGTTCTTATTTTCTATTCTACAATTTCAGATATTATTAAGATGAAAAGTATGTTTGTTTAAACGCGCTAGTGTAACTACTGGCTCGATTTGAAAAATTGTTTATTTAGGTATGTATTTGTTTTTTATATATTGTTATTTAGGAAGGCTATAAAACACCAGGCTGTGAACAATAGGAGTGAAAAAACAAAGGGAAATATGGAATAAATGAGGAGGCTTTCGTTGCGTGCGCGAAATCGGTTAAAGTTATAAAATATGCAAGAATGATTCTTCAAATAATCTAAAAAAATGTCTATCTTATAAGATTAACTCCCAAGAAACGTTTATTTGTATCAACCTTTGTCGAAATACTTCTGGCGAAAGAACGTCAGTTTAGGTAGTGATTAAATAAATATTAATTTTTCATTTCGAATTTTCTCGACGACTGTCTTTTGAAACAATTCTTTGGCACGATTGTATTATGCGCATATGCAAAACTCGTGTGAACGAGTACAAGAGTTTTAATCAACGAAACGAAGTAAAAATGTTGCGGGATCCGTGCGTTCCAAACTAGGTCAATAGACCTGACACGATAGGATGAAATCTCTTAAAATTTTTAATAAATACAGTTCTCTATTATCAATTCATTTAGAGCTAAAACTAGCTTTTCTAAATATCCATGCAATTACCATTTCAATGCGGCTCTTCACTTGATTATTTGCAACTATTTGAAGGTAATAATACGTTTAAGATGTGTCTAATAGCAGTGGAACGAAACAGAAAATAGATTATAGGTTATACGCGAAGCAGAAGACATTTTCGACTTGGTAACTTTTGATTTGATTAAAACAGTCTTGTCTTCTGCAGTCTTTTGTATGTTACTTTTTTTTTTTTTTTGATTGGATTCTTACGTATTGTGTTCCTAAGGAGCCACGAATACTAACCGGGCGTTTTGGGCGAGCGCGACAGCGCTCGCCGTGTTTGCGGCTAGACCAAGGGTGCCCCGAGGGGGGCATCGGCCTCGGCTTGGACCGCCGCAATGCGGGTGGGAGCTAGAAGAGCTGGACGGAAGCTCACCCGGGTGAGCGGTACACGAAGCGAATGACCTCGCCTAAGCCGGCGTAGGCGGTTTTGCGGGCGATCGGCACCGGTGTCGCTCGCTATGACTGTCTTCTGCGACCGCTTCAGCGGGCGCAGGTATTCCTGTTCGCGCAATTGCGCCTGCAGGAGGTAGCGGGTATCGTGGCTCGTTGCTACGAGCCCGTCGGTAGGTGTGCTGCAATGGCAGCGTCTGGCCGGTGGTGACGTCGGTGGCTTCATCTCGCGCACCGACGTCCTGGGTGCTGCGCGCTTCGGGTGAGGGGGATGTTGATGCACACTCATTCAACACCCCGACGATCCTGTCTGCGGCAGCTGGCGTTCGGGGACACGGGCGGCTTCATCTCGCGCACACCGTGTCCTGTGCTTCCTCTTCTTCAGTGGCTGCGTCGGAAAAGCGGCACGGCGGCAGCAGGCAACCGGGGCACGGGCGGGTGCGCCTAGTGGGGCAACCGGGACGGGCCCTGGACGAGGGGGCGGTCAACCGGCGCACACGCCACCGGGGGCAGCGCGCAACCCGCGCGCGGGCTACACAGCCGCGCGGCACGCATGCGGCTTCCTTCAGCGGCCGGGGAGGGTGACGGCCGAAATCGCAACTCCCGGCATATGGAGCACGGAAGCGGTGGCCGCCACCTGTGGGTCTTCGTTGGGTGTTGTTGTCACTTGAAGGGGTTGCAGCAGGGCGCGAGCGGCGAGGTCCCCGACAACGACAATAGGGGACGAGCACACTCGCGTTACACTAACCGCAGACTCGCCTTCGCTGCGACGCGTCGTGAAGGGATCCTCTCCTCCGCGTCCTCCTTCGGGAATGGGCGTCACAACTGGGTACAGGGCGACGTATCTCGATGAAACAATGAAGCTTGAGGCTGAAGCTCGAAGCTGGCAGACGATCTTCGTGTCCGTGTGGGGGCGCGGGCGGCGCGCGACGCGGCGCGCGGCACGGTCCCGCCGGGTGAGACCCCCGGTAGCCCCGGGGGAGGCCCAGCGAAACGTAGCCAGCGGATGGTCGCCGCGAAGACGCGCCCGTAGGGTTAGCCGCGCCCCGGCGTCGTGTCCGGTGATGGGAAAGGTTATATCGCGGCCGCAGCCTCAGACCGCGGCCCGCCGATATACCCGCGCAGCATGGTGTGCGCTCGTTTGTCCTGGCGTCGATAATGTGGTGAAGAAACGGTGCTTCGGATTGCGCGGCACGCGCTCAGCCGAAGTACGGTGGGCCTACAGGCACTGCCCTAAGCCGTCGAACTCGTTCCGGACCCCTAGCCAGCCCGCAAGCGACCCAGCTCGAGGCGATCGGTTCGAGGACGACGGCGGTAGCTACTGGATGTAGCTTTCCATACTTCGGCCAAGCGGATCTTTTATCCAAAAAAGACGGCTTAGCACGACGGTGGGCACGTGTGCACGCGGCTGCAGGTAGCCGTCCTCACCCGGTGTCGGCCGATCGCATAGCAATAAGTAAGTCGACGGCTTTGGTTAAGTCGTCATCGGGGTCGGTGAGGACGTTACGCGGCCTTCTCCAGCGTGTATTAATGGGAACGGTGTAGTTGGCGGCCCGGGCCACCAGTGGGTTCGGATGCGTCGCGGCTTTTTTAAAGAAACGTTCGGACGTTTCCTTGAAGTACCGACTGAGGGTCGGTAATTCGAGATCGGCGTGAAGATTTGCATTCCGTACGCACCAGATGGCTGGAAAGATATCCTTCGAGGTCTAATTCGTCTGAATCTCCCTCTTTTGTTTTCGACAATAAATAGATATCTTATAAGCCACTTTAACTGCGACCTAACGCGAATGATTCGGCTGTTACAAAGCATTTATGCAGCAAAGCAACCGTGACATCGGGCTAAAAATAAGTCAACTAATATATTTCACGTTATAAACCGTTAAAAATGTTTTATTCGAACTTACAATTAAATATAATAAGTACTGATTCTCGTCGCGTTAGAATGTTTTCTTCGCCGAAAGTCTCGATCAACAAATTTTTTTCATATTCTCCAATTTGCACGGATTTCGCCAAGACACCTAAACGCAAAGCAATCCATAACGTTCAATTGAGATTGTATCCGGGCTATTGATACTGTACAAGTGGCAAATGTTACCGGAGTAAAAATCGGTCAGTTTTAAAAACAACCTCTAGTTTTAATGAACCAATTCAATTGACTGCAGGAACATACACGTCATTAGACTTATATTTGACACATCAACCGGCCGGGACGGACATCGATCGGTTCACTTGTTCGAAAGCCTCTATTTAGCGTCCGACTATATTGCGCTGCCGACCTTTTTTTAAAATATAAAGTCTACAGGTACACCGCAGCCGTAACGTGTATTCATGTTTTATGTACAGATTGTGACCGGGCCAAAATCGCGACATCGCTAGGCATGGATTACAAAATATACCTTTTTGTTGGCTCTGTGGAAGCAAATGGTTTAAAAAGCATGATAGGCCATTGCACATTTATCTGAAGTATTAGTAGGAGTAGTGAGATAAATTAAACCTAATAGTAATAGTTTAACGGGGTCGCTGGACTAAGGGCAGCAATATATGCCTGCTGAAAATCAAAGGGGTTCTTTCCCCAGCGGGTCGAAAAATATCGAGAGAAGAGAATTAGGGAATATCGAGATTCCAGCCGGCTCAAGATCTACAGTCCACAGATGGAGTTAAATCGCGTTTCGGGTGCAGGCTGTGGCTTTCCGCATGCACAAAGCCAAAATAGGTCGCCAGCATGTTGTCGAGGTGTTCCATTGCATTTTTACCTTCCATCACGTGAATCTCGTGCTTGTCTGTTTTTATTCTTTAAAAACATCGAGTTGTTTATTGTTGACACATTAAAACTTTCAATATTATAAAGTCGCCTTTTAATCACACAATGCTAATCTTGTAGCGAAATCTAAATCTACACTAATACGAGTATATTTGTACGCTTAAACTTTATTTGCGTGTCGTGTTTACATATTTATAAGCTTAAATTTTATAAATCTGTTTACACCTTAATATATATAAAGCTGAAGAATTTGTTAGTTTGTTTGAAAGTGCTAATCTCAGGAACTACTAGTTCGAATTGAAAAAATATTTTTGTTTTAGTTGGAGTATTTACCGAGGAGGGCTATAGGCTATAAAACATTGCGCTGAGACTAATAGGAGCGACAGCGGGAAATGTAGAAAAAACAGCGTACTTTGCGATTACGGTTTCAGATATTCAAAAATATGTACGAAAGAATTCCTCTTTAAATGATGTAAAGAACTTCGTGGGTTATAATAGCTTAAAAAGGTTAAAAGATGAAAAGGAGGTTTGCAAAAAAAAATTTAGATGCCCAAAATTACTTTCCTACGCGAACTGTTATATGCAAATATTCCACTGTTCTTTTGATGACGCTGCACACGTGTAGTAATTATAATTTTCCATAATAATAGTGTCTATGTTGCACTTTAGTCCTACTAAGGAATTACTTTCATATACTCGGAGAGTTACATTTTCATCGTCGCGGAGTGCGGACATTGTAGAGTGAGGTCCTCAATATTAATTGTACTCATACAATTATTAATTAAATAAACGAAATTAAATCCTGTAGTGGATTTTCGTTTTTTTTAAAAAACCTCACGACCCGGTGCGCTAAAACAAATTTGGTGGCAGCGGTGGGATACCCGACAGTTATAACGACAGGGTATTCCAAAGAACAACAGCAGCATCGTGGTCACGGATCGACAGTAAGCCTTCTATATATATCTATACAAGCCTGCATCCCTCGTCCGTCACCGACATCGTAGCTCCACTGGGACTTTGGTTCCTAAGGTTTTCAGAACCTAACACATAAAGTGTGAATTTGGAGAGAGAGAAGAGAAGTGAAGGTCTAGGAGAGAAACGAGGTCCAGAATTCGCGCCCCTCGTCCAATTGTGAAGTGAGTGAATTTTAAAACAAAAAAGAGGCAATTCGTGACAAGTGCAAGTGATTAAAATATGCTCCAGAAAATTATTTTTCTATTGTAAGTTTTTCTTTTAGTGTTTAATAATTAAGTAGCGACTCTTTCGTAATTTTCTATCTCATTGTTTATTTGTATTTGTTTCAAACACCATGTCAATCAAAGTAGAAGCAGATAATAAAATTAGTTTGGGTGTGTTGGTTAAGTTCATAAAGCCTTATTCTGGGGATAGGGAGAGCTTGCCAGCTTTCCTTACCAACTGTGATAATGCTATATCATTAGCATCAAAGGACCAACAAAATATCTTGTGCAAATTTATAATTTCGCAATTAGAAGGAAAAGCTCAAATGACATGTTGTTTGAAAAATTTTAATGAATGGTCTGAACTCAAAGACTTTTTAATTTATTCTTTTGGTGAGAAAAAACACTCAACGCATTTATTATTAGATTTACAAAATTGTAAGCAGACCTTTTCTGAAAGTGTTACGCAATATTCGATTAGATTAGAGACATGTTTAACGCGTCTCTTAGCAGAGACCAAATTTACTTGTAAAAACAAAGAGGAGTTGCCGGGAAGGATAGCGGCAATGGAAGACTTAGCTCTGAATACATTTTTATTAGGTCTAAACTCTAATATAAGCAATATTGTCAGATGTAGGAATCCGGCAAATTTAAATAATGCTATAACTTTGGCCGTCGAAGAGGAAAAAGTTTTTAATCTAAATAAGTGCTCTACTATGTCTTTTAAAAATAAATTTTGCTCAATTTGTAAAAACTCAAATCACAATTCCTCAGAATGTTTTCGGAAAATTAAGCACACAAAATCAGTTCATATTATCTGTGCCTATTGTAAAAATGTAGGGCATAGGATACAAGAATGCAGAAAACGAGAATTTAATAATAAAATGCGCAACAAAATTTCAATCCGATCGCAATCCGATCCTACACCGCGTACTAATAATACAAACATGCATATGTGTGAAACACACGACTCTGCATGCGAGTGCGCTTTAAACTTAATGTGATTTCGAAAAAGTGCCTTTCGAAATCGATAAATCAAAATGGCACAAAATATTTATCTAATAATAATATTACTAAATTTACTAATTCCTATAACACAAATGCATCTCAGTCAAAGCCGCTGAGTCTTACTAATTCTTATAAAAAAATCGCATCTCAGTCAAAGCCGCTGAGTCTTACTATTTCTCATAACAAAAATGCATCTCAGTCTCAGTCGCTGAGTCTTACTAAATCGTGTACTAAATGTTGTAGTAAAATGGTGAAAGAAAATCATAAAAATGATTTATTCGTGGTTAATCAAGACCCGAATTCTATTCAAGAAACTATAAAAGAAAATTCTAATTCTAAGAG